TTAAATACTAAAGGTTCGATATAAGCAAAAGTCCTTAGCAACGAGTAGTCGAGGTCTGTCAAAGTTCATTCAATGCGGGGAGGCAGCGACCTTTGGTCACAAACCTTTGCCGATCCGTGGCCTTGTGCGAGGACATAGGAGCGATAAACTTTCTTTTTTTTACTACTACGTTAGTGTTTACACGTGTACTCGAGTAGCATCTACGTTTTTATATTTACTTAGTACGAGAAATCTACAATATAGGTCTCCATAACTCATATCCAACCATTAACGTCTCTGGATACGTCAAGAAAATTACTACATGCAAATTGAAAGTGGAATCACATGTGCTGCTGAAACAGAAACTTAAAGACAGAGAAAAGATATAAGTTAGAAAAGCACCTTTAATGTACAAGTTATTTCCTTAATTAACTTTACTTATTTTCATCAAGATATAAATTTTTAATTAAAGCATTAATAACATGTAATTGCGAATGACGGAATCAAGTGTGAATTTAAGAAAACACGAAACAATTTAATAGCTCACGCTGACCACATTGGCCACTCTGGGGTCACTTCCGGGCTCTGAGCTGGCTTTGGGACCTCGAGCGAACTGCAGACCTTGCGGACCGAAATGTAAGGTCGCTCTGTTATTAAAGTTTTTATTGTTTTTTCATTGTATTCTTTACTTGAGTAAAAATTATCTTTTATGATACAGTTTTTAATTTAAAATTTAATAGATGTTGCCAGATTTTTGTAAATAATTAATAAAATAAATGGTTACTCTACAATTGTTTAATTTTTTTCTTATGATCATATTTGATTTTAAAATTAACTGATTATATACATGCGAACGCGAACGCGCGCGACAGCTATTCTAGCTTTGATATTAATTTATATCGGAATCGAACTTATATTCTTGACGTACTGATTACCACAAACCAGTGATCTACCCACTGAACCTTCAAGACTCTCGGTCACGTATTCTAATTGTTCAAAAATATAACCGCTATCGAATTCGACCATGAAATGTACATTAATAAACCAAACGTTTCAAATTAGCATTAAAAAATAATTATATAGTTATATATTAAACATTTCATCGAATTGCAAACGTTTAAATTTAAATACTCATGGCCGTACAATTTGCTTCCTGATCTAAGACCAGTAGACCTTACACAAGGTGAATTTGAACTGTTTTATTTATTGACAACATACACATATGTTGTACAGACGTACGCTGAACTCACATACTATAGGAAAAAGCTTTTCTATTATTGTTTTGCTTGATTTCTTTCTTTTTAACTTGTGTCGATAGTTGATGGCCGTTATTATTTTTTAATAACATGATCTGTTATGTACTTTTATATAGTAAAGATTTGCAAGTAAAGGCGAAAAGCGTGATATCTGTTTAAAATATAACTATAGATGTATTTTCAAATTGTATTTAATGTGAAATAATTTAAAAACTTTAAAAATTGACTATACACCAAGGTTAAAATTGAGATCGCAATTTATGGTGGCTCGCAAATTATTTATGTACACTCCTTGAATGTCATGACATTGACATAAATTATCTGGCTGTCTGTCTGTATCAATTCCCTCAAAGTTCACACACAAACTTTTACAAAGAGTATTCAAGAATAAAATTCTACTCCATCCTGACTTTTAATTAAAAGTAGCAACAATACAAAGTCAACTTGTCAATAGGGCTGCGACTATAACATCAACATATCCTTATATTTAAAAAGCAAATATGAGTTATTTTTACCTTTATTTATAAATTTACTTTATTATACTTACTTTGAACAGTTTTCAAGGTGTTACAAATCGCTTTAATTAGATAGTTGTAACATATTGAAAACACATCTGTCTCCTTACTTATTATACCTTTTAAAGTTAATACTTTAGTTCGATTTCGATTGAAATAGTAGGTAGAGTAAAATTTCGTAAAACAATGAAGTGGTAACCCTAACGATGGCGGGAAAAGAGTTCACCTTGTGACGCGTTTCCCGCGCTGCGACCTCGCCGCGACCGCGACGCCTCGGCTGCCTGCGCGAGCGCCGCTCGGTCCGCTTCGGTTGCTGCTCATGCTAACTGCTCAGCGCTCACCACTCTATGCTCAAATCAATGCTCGGCAGTCATCAGATATCCTCGTCTCCTATACATTTTATTGGTGAGAGGTTCGTTTTTATTTATCTAATAGAAAACTCCACACACAACGATGGAAGCAAAATGGCCTTTCATTGCTCTTTTAACGAGCAAAATTATACAATTCGAACGTAAAACTCGCTCCGATCGTGGCCGGCTTAAATAAATAAAGTTTCGTAAAGTTACTTAACCGTTATTTATAGTTTATTTTCTTGTTTTTCAATTGCCATTGTTTAATTTGTTATGTAATATATTTCACAAATCATAACATCATTAAACAATAGGTTCACGACCTTACTAATAATCAAATAAATTGCTTTACGCAAATATAATAAACATTTAACTCGCACTATCCAATTTCTCCGCGATTGTGATAAATGTCAAAAACACACATGTTTTGATTAATATGAAAAAGTATATTTTTGACCTATATTGACCCGGGATACCAATGGATACTGTTATTAATATGTGATTTTAGTTATATGGACAAATATTATCAAAGGAAGTAAAATATAATCTTTGTATTCTTGATAGAAAACATGGGAAATGATTTTACGCACCGTGTAGTCGATAGCTTTGGTAGGTAAGCTATTAAAAAAACAGATTAAAACTGCAAAATACTTCTCGTTTTAAGGTGCTTTAATACTCTTATTGAGTTTAGTTTCACTAAAAATATTAGGTACGTATACTAATATTATAAAGAAGAAATATTTGATTGTTTGTTTGCATTGAATAGGTTGGGAAACCAATGAACCGATTTGAAAAATTCTTTCACTGTTGGGAAGCTACGCAATCCCGGGTGACATTGCTATATTTATTACTCAAGGAAGTCTACTACAAGGAAGTAATATAAAAAGTGTTGTCATAATATGTTATTGTCAGTTTTGGAAAGTAACACATCATGTTACGAGTAATGCAAACACAAAAACTCTTTCTCAACATCGTCTCATCCTCATTAATAATTTATTTATATTTAGTATATAATCGAGACCCCGAATGATTTCTATTGAACGGTTTTTGAACGTTGCTGCAAATTTGTGAATTATTAACTTTTAAATTAGCTTCGAAAACATATGTACAATGTATAATTCATCTGCGTTATGTCTTTCTTTTTGCGGATTTTCACTGCTGTCACATTTGTTTTGATAAATGTTGTTGTCTCGTTCTTTTAAAAGAGAATAAAGAAGGATGACAATATATTTACACTCAACATAGTGGTGTGCTTCGACGTGATTTTATTTTCCAATATATCTTCTAATATTTGTATAATTCGATTTGAAAAACAAGTGACGTAAGATTTTATAGATAAGATATAGATATATAACAGTTATAATTTATAATTTGACGTATTACATACACAAATATTGTTTGAAGATTTATCACTTACTGATACTCTGAAACTTCACACTATGAGGGAAATTAAGTTAAATAAAGCCGCTGGAAATCTATGACGTAGTTGCTTAGAGGTCTGTAGAGGTCGGGTCATTTGACCTCGTACACCTTACCTCTAAGAGCTCCGCTGTTAATTATCAATCCGGTATGTTATCTAACGTTAACGTCCTGCGTTGCGTAGTGCGTACATACGTTACTAAATCTAAGAAAACATAATATATAACTAGTATAGTAATAGTAAGGAGCGTCGGTGGCTCAGTGGTCAAGCAATTGACTTGCAATCTGCAGGTCCTGGGTTCGAATCCCGCCATGTACCAATGTGTTTTTCGATTTCCTATTTACATATGTACATTTATCCGACGTTCTTACGGTGAAAGAAAACATCGTGATGCAACCTGCGCATATCTGAGAAGAAATTCAAAGATATGTGTGAAGTCAACCAACCCGCACTTGGCCAGCGTGGATGACTATGGCCTAATCACCCTTAACTTAGGGTAGGCTCCGAGTTCCTCGATGGGGACGGAGTGAGCTGATGATGATGATGATGATAGTAATAGTTTTCTTTCTAACTGAAGTAGGTTAAGTAAGCTCGTATGTCTAGCTTGACACATTTAAATTCTACAAAGTTTGTAAGATATATCTTATATCGTTGCTTCCTCGAGCTTGCTAGTTTGCCAACTTATGACATAAAACAATATATTCTTGTATCCATCTATCCCATCTTTGTGGATCCACAATATGAGGTAGCTTTTAAAACCTGTGTAAATCTATATTTAAATGTCCTAAAGATAATAAGGTAGGGGTTAGGAATTATTTAGTAAAGTTATCTAACATTTTTAATAAATTTTATTCTAATTGTCGCTATTTTTATTAACTGATATTACTTATCAAAAAGGAAGTTCTCATCATACGGTTTGTTGTAATAATTTTATTTGTTAAGTAAAGGTACCTGTTGGAATATGCCTAACACTAGCGATGTGTACATATTTAAGTAGTTATCCTTCTATAGTTTGTACTTTAACTCTATAGTTGTTATACAAGATAGATATAAATCTTACATCCTTGTTTATATTTGTCGATAACTGTCTTACAGCCTTGCTTACAGAAAAAATAAAAAAATAAATGGAAGGTAAATCTCATTCCCAAATAGAATGGTCTTGCTTCAAATAAATAAATAAATGAAATATAGCAACGTGCATCAAATTTTGAATGTATAAAAGCATAGTAGTGATTACGACCGTATATTTTGTAAAGTAAAAACTTATTAAATATACTTGAAAAAAAAGTAAAGTCATATCCACATAATGACAACGGACTGGAAGTTGCCAGCACTTTGACCTGATTCTCAAATGCACATCCATTTCAGGGTTTTGATAATGATAACATTAGTTTTTTGGAGGAATAAAAATACGCGAGCGTCAAGGAGCGCGCCGGGGCGGGCGAGGCAGTCGCCAGTTCAGTGACTCGCGGCCCGCCGTACGCAGCGGACGTGTTTGTATGCTCGTGTGCTTTGACAATACGCTACGTGCTATCGTTAACTGAATTTTCGTTATTTATTTCGTGTGTGAAAATCTGCTGACAGTGACAGGAGTGTTGGTACAGTGTTTGTACAAAGTTACATTATTTTGTACGGAAACTTGAATTATATTTTCAACATTATATTATTGATTTTTTAATGTGCATGTGGACGGATCAGTGAACTTTTGGATTGCGTTTTGGATTTGGTAAGTATTTTATTTAATATTAACGATTTATAGCTTTAATATTAATAATATTTTAATGACTATAAAATTGCAAAAAATATTCATCTTAATTATTTTAAGAAGTTATTACTTACCGAGTCATGTATAAATTAAAAAATTGCATTGTTACAAACTTTGTACGTTATTTAAAATAAAACACTAGAAAAATAATGCTAAACATTATTTTATTTATCTATTTAAGTCTATTTTTAATAAAATAATATGTACAAAAAATTTAGTTGAGTCGCTGTAATTGTTTGCTTTCTCCAGTTCCTTCATTTTCTACTTATGTTAATTTTTTTTTATGTAATCGTAATAAAATTTAAAATTATGGAATGTGTATTAAATATTTAAATATTTTACAATAAAACAAATATTGTTAATAGCGATAGTTTTAAATAAATTTTTGGTAATTTTAGATTTACTTCGAAAATAAATAATGAAAACTCGCAGAAAAAAAATTAGAAAAAACTAAATTGTCTGTACTTATTAGATTCACTTTTTAATTTCGATATCCAAGTTAAGATTTAAGATATTAAGAAAGAAGCGAACTTCACTCGTTACAAGATCTTAAATAGATTTTTTTTCTGATTTAGTGATAATAAGTTTTGTGAATAGGAAGTTGAACATAAAAATTTAACAAACCTCATATTTTGTTGTTCTTGTACCTTGAACAATATTGTTTATTGTATGTTATTCGTATACATAATTGTATTTTCATATATTTTCTGTGTATTTCCTGATCATACGATCAAGGTTAGTTAGCTGTTTACGACAACATCAAGGTTGCTTGTATCTTTAATCTTTATGTTTGTACATATTTATATGATACTTGTATATTGAATGCGGTGGAGTGGTTGACGTACTCATCTACTAAACATAAAGGATCAAGGATCAAATCTAATCGTTTGTACTAGACTAGCTGTCGCCAGCGACTCCGTCCGCGTAACATTCGCATTTATAATATTAGTAAATTAAATAAAAAGCAGTTCTTCAAGGTATAAAGTCTAAAAAAAAGACTGAATAGTATCCTATGTCAGTCTCCTAGCTTTAAGCTACCTCCTCACCAATTTTCAGCCATATCGGTAAAGCCGTTCTTGAGTTATAAATAGTGTAACTGACACGACTTTCTTTTATATATATAAAAGGTTTTAGCTGATATACTCAATTTCTTCAGTAACTTTGATGCCCTTTTTAGCCGACTTGAAAAAGAATGAGGTTATCAATTCGTCTGTATGTTCTTTTTTCAGATTTTACTTGTATAACAAGTATAGAAATAAGTTAGAATGTTATGACCATTTTACTTTTCACGTATGAAGGCAAAAGTTAAAAGGTTAAGGAAGACAAATAGAATCTTGATTTGTGCATAGCATGGATTTGGTGATTTGACCTTGAGATTCGTTATTATTTTTTATGCAAATAGTATTTACTTCCATTGAATAACCTAGGATAAGAGAAGCTGGCAATTTATTAAATTTAGTTACTTTAAAATTTCACATAACAATATAACAAAGAAAGCGAGGTATTGGATACAATTAATTTAACAAAATATTAGTCACAATGGAAATACTGACATTACTATTTTAAGTCTTATTAAAACCGATGATTATGCTATATTAATCCTGCTTATAAACCTAATATCAACAAAGATTGGTCTCTCTAACACTGGTCTAGCGGAATGTTTCAATTTTTATCAACAATTGTATGCAGGTAGCCTGTCAGTGTTTTTCAACCTGTAGGTCGTGAAGCCTCAAAGAATACCAACAACAATGGCGACGAGTATCAAACTTGAAGTGACCTTTCTTTTCGTTGTCGACCCCGATATTGAAGGGAACTGTGTGAAATAGGTTTTAAAAGCAACACAACGGACTTCCGTAATTCAAAAGGGTGGATTTACAGGATTCTATTATGCGAGGTGGTGCTCCTGGTTCTGTCACTTCTTCCACATTCTGGTTAAAAAAAATAGTCTAAATCCAAATCAGTCATTTGATGAGCTGAGTAAATTGTTAATTTCATATTTATATATTAATTTTATTCATTTAAAGTTTGTTGCATACAACGCAACGTAAATGATTAATTGTACGAAGGTCTATCGGCGGGCGGCGGACGTCGGTGGGCCATTAGACACGCGAGTCAACCACTTAACCAATACTTGATATACTTCTAGATATCGCCAGCGATAAACCTAACAATACGACTAACATTAAGATTAGGCAATAGTAAATACAACTTGATTATGGAATTTTCTTTAATGTACAAGAGTATTTTTCTTTTTCGGGATTTAAAAGAAATCTTAATTATTATGAAAGACTGGCTGCTGCTAGCGACGCCGACCGCGCGGCATAAAAAAATGATTGGTAGCCTATTTGTTCTTCCAGACTATGTTCTATGTGTATGCCAAATTTAACCAAGATCTGTGCAGCCGTTTTGGACATACCTTTTAACAACCATCCTTCCAAACATTCGCCATTATAATATTAGTGAGATTAGGAATTTTATCATATTAAAATCGCGAGCATTTGTAATTTAAATTTATTAAGTAAACGTAAAATGTTATGAGTCAAAATTGAACGTGTTTGAAATCAAAAGTGTATCGTCATCCACTTTCGGTTTGATGTTATTTACTAAATGATCGGATCGCGTGTCATCACTTTAAAAAGATTCGCTTTCACTTGTTAGTGGTTAGGAATTTTTTTAACATAATCATCAATACTATTACTCTTTATAATATAATTTTATATTTACATATTTTAACCACCAGAAATAGAGACGTATATATATGACTAGCGGACGCCCGCGACTCCGTCCGCGCATTATTCCAGACTATGTTCTATACGTATGCCAAATTTCAATGAGATACGTTTAGCCGGTCTGGGGGATACCTTCAAACAAACATGCATCAATCCATCTAAACATTCGCATTTATAATATTAGTAAGATTAAAGATATAATTGAAGGTTCTGTTCTTTTCCATAATCAACCAAGAGTTTACATATTGAAAAAAATACCCCAGGCTTGCACAGCGAATGTCAGCTTGATGATTAATTTTGTTGTTTTACTTAAATCAATATATCTGCTCAAATGATTAATAATTAAAACAACATGATTTAATATTAAAATATAATTAATTAAGTAATGAAGAAAGATGTTTTCCGCGTGGTTCCCGCGCGCGGGCCGCTAAAAGTGAAAGCCCTGCAGGCCGCCAGCCGCCAGCCATCAGCCGTCACCGCGTTACGTACTCTACTTGTTTATGGTTTTTTTTATTCTTTGCGTATAATCTTGTTACATCTGTGAACGCATGATGAAAGTTTGTTAACTCGAAACTAACATAACAGTCGGCAATGCGTATTTTATTATAGTTATGACGTTATTGTTACTCTGCTCATAAAACTTGTCATTGGTCAAATATTTAAAATTATTTGCGCATCTTTCTGTTTATTATATTGGCTTGACAATGATTTATTGAATTAATATTTAAAAGTTTCACGATGAACGTGGTAGCAACTGCGTAGTTCATTGCACCTCGGTATTAACTTTTTATAGCGAATACTATAGATTAAAAATAGTGGTATGATGCCGCGCCGGCGCTGGCGCAGGAACAATAGCAACGTGTAAACAAAATATACATAGATGTTTATACTTTATAAAACTTCAAAAAACCCATCGTTTTAAAATCGATTAGACTCCTTATAAGGTTTGAAAATAGCTACTATAAATAAAATATTTTATCAACAAATAATCTCCCGGCACTTTTACATACGACCGAGATACATAAACTGATATAAAAACGTCTAAGCACTCGCGTATATTCATCCGGTGGCGGCAACGACTAGTTTCGAGACCATCGGGGGCCCTTCATCAGGATGAGTGGTACTGGTATTATTTCGCGGACGCGGCTCTCAGCTCACTGGATTACACTCTTACTACTCAAGATACGTAGTTTATACCAAAATTAAGAAATGAAAAGAAGCATTACACTTCATAAAGGGATTTTAAAAAGTGACAACAAATTTCTGGCTAAAACCCAAAACTCTTTACGTGTCATAGATCAAATTTGCAAACTGTGTCTAAAGAATGGCAAAAAGCTTGCAGTGTTTTTATTAACGTGGAAACAACGTCATAAGGACATTCACCTGATGGTATGTATCGCTTCACCATGACGTTACGATTTAAAAATACGTAATTTTACTCAGCGTCGTTTGTGCGCTCTTTTCTCGAAATAATATGGACATATATCAGAGATAATATCTTACAAATCACGTATAAATGATAAACTCTATTACGCTTGCTGACAAAGTAAACTTAACGTTTGAATCAATACAAAAGGTAACATAAGCATTTGAAAGGAACACACCGTGTCGCCACAGATTCGCAAATACGTGTATTGATTGAGTATTTATTTAGCTGCTTTAAAAATAAACTCCTCGAACGGGGGCGATCACCTCAGACAATGTTTCAACGGCCTGCTATAGTTTATGACTGGGGATATTATGTTCAATGCGTCACACATCGGAGCTGTCAAAGTTGATTACGTCACGAGCAACATCCTACATTTTTTATTCAAGAAGAATGCAAAGAACGATTGATTTACATTTTCTTTAATAATAGTGGCAAAAGACTTTAATAGTAACGACCCTATATGTACGGAAAAGTGTTAAAATCAATATAAGTATATAATAAAACTTCTGTACATTTGTTTTTAATTAATTTATAAATTAATGCAATCAGCGGCACTTGTTTAAATTGCATTGTCTGAAAATTACAGCTGATTAATAAAAAGACATGATTTCTTTATTATTAAACAATTTGATAACAAAGATAGCGAATTTAGCATCATGTTTCACGACTTATGTTAGTCTTTCCCGTTAAATGTGAGATTTTGTGGCAATAAACTGGAAATAATTATAATAGTATAGTTGGAATTAGTTGTATACTTTCTGTTTCTTTAAAATAATCATGAAATAACAATATCCAATTGACAA